ATTCAAAGTGAGGTAGTTTACAATGTCATTTTTTTGTTAAAGGATGAATAAGACATCAACAAATTACTTGGTGCTATGCTTGCAGATTTTTCTTTCAATGGGACATTGTTCTACCCATTCTAAAAAGCACAATACCAAATTTTGATGAAATTTTATGTCGTCTCACTTTCGTGTGTAAACCGAAGGAAAGCGAAATGATATTAGGAATCCTCATAAATGATGTTGTACCTGTTGAGAAGAATGTCACATCAGAGGATCGTTCTTTTTTTATTTGGATTGGCAATATCCGCGTTGAATAAAGTGTCGAGCTTTAAATTGTTGGTCTCTTAGTTAAGGTTTTTTCTTCTGTGGAGAAGGTAGTCAGATTCCTTGGGGAGAGGAAGCGTGAATGAAAGATGGAGAATGGATGGGTATTTATATTCTCCTTTAGAGTTAGTTGGAAAAGGTGCGACGGTGGGGAAGGACTGAATCGTTTTTTTGGTAAAAGGCACTTTCAGGATGCATTCTGAATTCGATTAGTATTTAAGCATTGTGTAGGTAGATTGCGATGTTTGGAAATGGGTTACGTGGAAGTGTTCTACACTTATGAATTTGTATTAGAAGCTACCAGAATAAAAGGGTTTATATATATATATATATATATATATATATATATATATATATATATATATATATATATATATATATATAGTGAGAGAAAGAGAGGTAGGTTCAATTGAGAAAAAAAAAAGGTTGAGAATGGGGGAATCATTCTCAGCCAATCATTTATCTAACATGTTCAAATAAAAAAAAATTCACGTGTCCATTTTCATTAAGGGTATCTTTGTAAATTAGCAACTTTTTTACATAGAAATTACCTGTTCGTTGTTATCAGTTTCCAATTTGATGATATCTTTATCTCGTTTGAATCGGATATGAGGAATTCATTATCAAGATTATTTTCTTTATATAACTCGTTAGCAATTATACATATTCATTCCATTAATCGTGAAGTTTCGCATTTGTGTTTCAGTTTTCTAATTCGTATTCAGTTTCCGCCGATTTGATCAGGTATATATATCGTTTGAATCGGATAGATCGGAGTTCATTAACAAGATTATTGCTTTTTATAATTTGTTTGGAATTACACTTATTATCTTCGTTTTGAGGTAGTTTAATCGGACTTCATTATCAAGATTATCAAGTTTCGAATATTTATTGGAGTTATTTCATCGGAGTTTTGTTAAGTAGTTTGAGATATTTATTTCGAATCTAAGCTGATTTAATTTTTAATCGGATATATCGTTGTAGTTTTTACGTTCTGTACCAATAGAGATTGCTTAATTACATCATCTGATCATATATGATTTGAGTTTCTTTCAGATATTTTGTACGCTGAGGTGAGATATATTCGTAATTAACCAGGTTTTCATCTTTACGACTTTTTTTGTGAGATATATTCGTTATTAAGATTTTTTTTGTTTATTTATATAGATCATTTGGTGTATTATGTCGAATTCTAGTGTTATTGATGGTGATTTGTATTCTTCTATGAGTGAGAGTGAAGAAGAAGAAGATGTTGAGAACTCATTTTTGGAAGGTATCAGTTATTGAATTATTTTGTTGTTTTTAATTTTGTTGATTATCATTTATTTACATATGAATATGTTAATATGAATAAATTGTTGTCTTATTCATATATGAATAATCGTCTGATAATTGCAATTTCAAATTTTTTATTTTTTTGGTTTTATTCATATATGAATAACTTATGTTTTATTTTATATATTTTGAATCCTCATGAATTTTATGTATTCATATATGAATGTCTTTATTCATATATGAATAATTTTTGTTTTATCTATATGAGTTTGATGTATTCATGTATGTTATTGTTGTATTCATGCATTATTATTTTAGGTGGTGAATCTTCAAGTTCAGTACATGATGCACAATATTGTGATGATATAATTGGAGAACATGTCTATAAGCCAGATGTACCTGTTCAACTTATTCCATTTAAGGGTTTAATCTTCAAATCATTAAAGTTGGCTATCAAAATGTATTCTGAGTATGCTGAAATTGGTGGTTTTGATGTTAGACTGAGCACACAGTCAAGGTTTGATAACAAGATTATAAAGAAGAAACATGTTATATGTAATCGTGGTGGTAAACAGAAAAATAAATCTTTTGACACATTAGGTACAAGTGGTGTTAGGGGGAAATGAAATTCAAATTCAAGAGCTATTGGTTGTCAAGAAAAGATTATATTTGAATCTGTGTATGGAACTCCAGATTATAAAGTTTTTCAGTTTGATGAACTTCACAACCTTCCACTTGAGAAGAGAAGCGATTTAAAAAAAAAACGAGACAAATGTCATATTCAGAAAAAGAGTTTATTGTGCGTGCTTCCACATCAAAAATAAGTCCAACTATGGCTCATAAGTTGAGGGCAAGTTTCAGAGGTGGGTATGAGTTTGTAAAGCCAAAAGTAGTTGACTATAAAAATTTAAGGAGAGATATCAACAGGGTTATTGGTTATAAAGATGTCCAGATGATAGTAAACACAATGAATGACCGTCGAGCTCATTATCCAAATTACTCATTTGAGTTTAATTGTCAAGATGATGTTTTGGACCGTATGTTTTGGGCTGATGAAATGGAGAAGGCATATTATGCTGAATTTGGTGATGTTATCTCGTTTTATGCGACTTTCCAAACAAACAAGTAAGTTATTTTATCTACTTTTGTTTATAGCTTATTCATATATGAATATTTTTATATTCAATTTTTAATACATCAAAAAATGACTTTAATGAACATTTTTTTTGTGTGTTAGGTATCGAATGGTTTTTGTTCCGTAAATTGCTATTGACCATCATAAAAAATCGGTTACTGTTGGAACTGGGTTGCTAAGCAATGAAAGCATTGAGTCTTACTCTTGGTTGCTTAAATCATTTCTTAAAACTCATGGTAAAGAACCAACACTTGTTTTAACCGATCAAGATGTTGTAATAAAACAAGCTGTTGAGAATGTGTTTCGTAATTCAAAACACCGGTTATTATGTGGCATATAATGAAAAAGTTGAAAAAAATGTATTATTTTAATATATTTCAAATATATTACTTATTAGTATATTCATTTACGAATATTGATTGTTATTTTACTTATTATTATTTATTCATTTATGAATATTTTTGTTTAAATACAGATATCAGATGATTTATTTACTAACACGGACTTTAGAAAAAGGTTTTCAAAGCTTGTTTTGGACATTAATAGGAAACCTGATGTTTTTGAGGTGAAGTGGGGTTTGCTTTTGAAGGAATTCAATCTTGAAGACACAAGATGGTTTAAAGACATGTTTACAATGAAGACTACATCGAGGTCAGAGAGTATGAATTCATTCTTTAACACATACTCAGAAAGTGGGAACTTACTTTTGAGTTTCATGATGAATTATGACACTACCATTCAAAAGCAAAGGAATACTCAACGAGATCTTGATAAGGCATCAAAGAAAGCATCATATAAAATGCGAACACCTCGAGAAATAGAACTGCAAACATCAAAGGTTTATACAAGTACATTATTTTTAAGGTGCAAAACGAAATATATAAAGCATGTTTTTTCTGTACATACTCATATGTTGGTATTGAAGATGGTTGGGAAGTTTACATTTTGCAGCACAACAACAGTAAAAGTGATTTTAAAAATGAATTTAATGTAATTTTGCTAGTTTTTTATGAAAAATGTAATAATATTCATATATTAATATGAGAATATTCATATATGAATATATGAATATATAAGTGTTGATATGAGTATTCTTATATGAATGTAAATGTGTAAATTTTGTTTTTGTCTCAGGTTGAAATAAAAGCTGAAGAAAAAGAAATAAATTGCAGTTGTGAACATTTTAAGCGTATGGGTGTTTTATGCAGAAATGCTTTTACAATAATGATGAGATGTGGTGAAGTTGTATGCAAGCTTTTGGGTGTTACTATTCATATTCTAGAAGAGATTAATATTCATGTTCCTGAAGTTCAAAGCAATAAAGGTTCTGGAATCAAGAAAAGAATTCCAAGTGTGGATGAAGTAGCATATGAAAATTCTAAAAAAGAACATAGAATGTGTTAAGGATGTGGAAAACGAGTTCCACACAATTTACGTACTTGTCCAGAAAGAGTTGGAGTTACTAAATCAGCAAAAGACAGTTAGGGATTTTTTAGTGTTTTTTTTTTTATGTTTTTTGGTTTAATTCATTATGAATATATGTAGATAAAAACAATAAACAATAGTATTCATGTATGAATAATACACATTTATATTGATATCGTAAATTGATATGTTGATATTTGTTTTTAAATTACTATAAAATAAGTTATATTGATATTGTAAATTATTCATAAATGAATACAAATATGTGAAATTTGTTATAATAATAAATAAGTATATTCATATCTGAACTTTTTTATGTTAATATCTGAACTTTGTTATACTAACATATTAATTTGAACTTATTCATAAATGAATATATCATATTCGTATTCATTTATGAATAAATAAAAATAAAGTTTGAGAATATTTGAATATAAAAAAATAACATAAATAAGCAAACTTGTTTCTACTAATAAGTTAGTTATATTCATATATGAAATTTGTTATATTCATATATGAACTTTGTTATGCTGACATATTACTCCTAATTTAATCATAAATGAATATATCATTCGTATTCATTTATGAATAAACATAAATAAAATTTGAAAATATTTAAATATAAAAACTGACAGAAATAAGCGAAGTTGTTTCTATTACATAATCATTCAACACAAGATAATAAAAGCTGTTCATAAGCATTTCACAAAATATTAAAATGATGTTCAACAACATTTAACAAACAATTTAAAACTGGTTTCGCAAAATCATCTTACATGTACTTCAAATCCATTCATCTTCAACACAAACTATTCTATAGCATCACACTTCAACATTCTTTCATCTTCACAAGAAATCATCAATATTCTTTTAACCTTTTTTGAATTGTTTGCATAGCCTTGTATGCATGACCAGTACGCACTTTGAAGTCAACTTTTTGATACTTTTCAGCAAGATCGAACACCTTAGCCTTCAACATGTTAATTTCAGAAGTTAGCATTATGTGTGCATATCTTTGCTTGAGCTTCTCTATAGTAGTTTGTTGAACTGCACTTTCTTTATGAAGACCTGGTTTCCACTTTGAGAGTTGTTGTCCCATATAGGTCTCCATATGTCTCATTGCAAAGACCCCACAATCAACTTTGTTTTTAACTGTTCTCCATGACATTTCAAGTCGTTGGGGTTTGATACTTTCTTTTGAGATTGCATTTGCTCTTGGATGGTTTATTTCGTTAAAGTATCTCACAAAAAAAATTTGATCATTAAATAAAATAAAAGTTAGATATGTAATAAATTGGTTATTTTATGTTGTTGTGAATTGGGTACATACCAAAGGTTTCAATATTACTCCGTATTTTCCTTCATAATCCACCTCAACTGCACTATTGTCTAGAATTTCAATTGACGGTTTCTTTAAGTTGCAGACAATCACAAAAATGTGAGCACTTCTAACAACTGGAAAGAATACCTGTTTTTATGTATATAATGGTAAGTATTTTGTTGATAAAATATATATAAAAAACAACTTTAATTAACATACCATGTCAATATCTTTTATGTTCAGGATTTTTTTGTACCCATTGGTACTCTCATGAAAGTTCTCCTTGAATTTTTCATACTTTCTTTCATCAGACAATGTTGAAGTTAGATAAGCAGTCTGTAACCAATATAATCATATGTGAATTTCAGTTGAATATATATAATTATGTTAAAGAATACATCATATTTGTATAATCATATGTGAATTTCAGTTGTAAAAAAATATAATATTCATAAATGAATACATCATATTGGTGTATTCATTTATGAATAAGGAAGGAATTAAGTTTAGAACATAAACTTACACAAACTCCAACTTTCAAGAAGAGTCTGTATGATGAATTTCCAAAATCCCTTTCCAGTTCTTGGTGGTTAAGTAAATCAGACCATGTGTCTAAAGCTTCTCCAAAAATCTCTGTGTTTGCATATAGACTTTCCATAATTGCTCTTTCTATTATCTAACCATATTTTGTCTGGACAACCACATCTCTTCAAATATATGATCAAAATGTCATAGATTATTATCAATATAATAATCATATATGAATGTATATAAAATAAAGTTAATTACGATGTATTGCCTTGTAAGTTGAACAATCATTCACACACAATACTCTCCTGATGTGTCAGTTTGGGTTTTGTGTCTGTTATTCTGCATTTGAAAGGTGATTTGAAAGCATCAGCAAGCTTCTTCTCTCTTGGTTGATCCAGATCATGCTTTGATGGTCCTACTTTAGTAGGAATTGACACAGAGATTGGATTTGGATTAAGAACATTTTTCTTTGCTAATCTGATAACAACCTTCTGATGGTCGTCTTTGATTTCTTTCTTGGTAAGTGCTTTTTTTGGTGAAGATTCATTAGATTTTTTACTTGAAGTTTGATCTGAATGTTGACTGAGACCTAGACTAAAGCTTGGATGAGTATCTGCATGCCAGGAGATTTATCATATAAATAGTTGTAAGTTAATTATAATATTTGATTTTATATTTTGAAATGTTTATCCAAATTGTTACCTCCTTTATTTCATTTTGTCTTGTCAGCTTTTTCACCTTTCTTGTTTTCATTTTCTGACTGTTTCTTTCCTGAAAGATGATTAAGTAATTCATATGTGAATAAGTAATGTATTCATTTATGAATAAGTAATGCATATCATTATTTATGAATAAGAAATATTTTTTTTTATGTTGCGTTATTTATTTGTGAATAATAAAACATATTATATTAATTTATTAGTGATTCAACTATTTACCTTTATCTTCTGCATTTCCTTTCTCAGTTTCTATATGTTTTTCTTCACCTCCATCTTTCGTGTTCTTAGCTTCTGTTCCTCCTTCATTTCTATCTTCAGAGTTTTCCTTGCTTGAAACATATACATCATATATGAATATTTTTTATATTTTATTCATTTATATAGTGTATTATTCACTTATGAATAAACAATCTTATTAAAAAATCAATATAAATATTCTAATATATTTTAAGTCATTCATTTACCTATATCATCTTCCTTTGTTTTTTCAACTTTTGTTCCTTGTTTATGTACACCTTCTGATTTTTCATTTTCTGCAAGAGTATTAGCTTTACCTGTACTCATTGGTGACCCTGGTGAAAATTTAACAAACAAAACTATTATTGTGTATTAATATTTTTATATATTTTTTTAAAATAAAATTAAGACAAAATTTACCTATATCAATATTATCGAAAATAGCTTTCATTTCAGGAGGATTCCAGATTTCATCTTCTTGACTATTTAAAGTTGAAATTCCAATTCCAAGGACATTGTCCACAATGTTGTGAACAACTTTATCCAACAAATTTTCATTTTCAGTTTGTCGAATAGTCTCCTCATGATTATTTGTTTCCTCAGCATAATCATCTTTTTCCTCTTCATCATTCTCATTTTCATTCCTCTTTCCATCTTTCTCTTTTACTCCAATTTCACCTTCTTTTTTATTCTTATCCGCATCATTCTTTATTTCTTCATTATCTGCTTCATTTGAATTAAGCAAATAATCTACTTCTGGTTGACTTGCACCATTATCACTGTCTTCTTCACCATTTCCCTCTTTATCTTCATTTTCTGTTTTATCATTTGTTTTTTGACCCATTATTGGTGTCAAATTGATTCCTTCAACTCCAGTTTCATTAATTGGAAAATTAAAAAGTGTTGTGCTTTCAGTTTTTTCTTCAACAATCATATTTGTCATCTTTTCATTGAAAATTCTAAAACTTTCCTTTTCAAGGAACTTTGTCATCGCATCATTAAGCTTTGAATTCAGCTTTTCCTTCATCCTCTCAAAACTATTAATCATTTTTGATATTTTTGATTCATATGCCTATGTAAAAAAAGTATATGATTACAATTTAATATAATAATTCAATGTAATCATATATTATTAACATGTTCAAACTAGATACCTCAACAAAATGATCTTCATCTTTATCATAATCATTGTCTTCGAGATCTGTATCTCCTTCATCTTGTTCATCAACAAATTCTTCATTTATTTCTCCAAGTCCAAATTTACCTTTTTCTTGTTCAAATGCCTCTCGATATCTAATCTTCTCTAAACTCCAATAACAAATTGTTGGACGTTTACGTGTTACTGTCAAAGCTTCTGAGTGGATATTATCAGCATAGAACAACTGCACATGAATGATAACTAATTGATATTCTTATATGAAGAAGTAATATTAATTTTTACTTATTCATATATGAATAAGTAATGACTTATTCATATATGAATAAGTAATGTAAAGCATTATTTGTTAACAAATATATTTTTCTTATTCATATATGAATATTTGTTATTAGTTTATGAATAATCATATTATTAAAAATTGGGTATAAACATTAAAATAACTTATCACCAAGAAAGCTGAAAGTCCAACAAAGAAGCTGGTATCTGAGTATGGTATGTATGAGTTTTTTGTTCTGACAAGACAGTCCAAAACATAGCTGCACCAGTCTATGGTACTGATATTTGTTCTTCTTGAAATATAACTCAAGGGAAACAGGTTACATCTTCCCATTGATGTTTACTCGCAAAACATGTTGACAAAAAGAACTAAGAAGTTCAATTTGAAATTGAAATCAGCTTGTGTGGTAGAAACAATAACATTTTTGATTACACTCAGTCGGATGATTGAATCTTTTTTAAATTGCTGCTTCCATTCATCATAACTTGTATCATCCTTAGGCCATCGATCCAGTTGTGTAAGTTTGGTTCCACCAATTGGTAAGCCTAACATGTCATGAACAGACTCTGCTATTACTTTCAGTTCCTTTCCTTCAATATCTATCACCATTCTCTCATAATCAAATTTTTGAAGAACATAAAATCTCAGCTTCAATGGTATATCTGTGATTTTCATTTTTAACAAAGCTCAAAAACCCATAGATCTTACATATTCTTTTTGTTCTTTGCTCATCCCAAGGATTATAGATAGTAATGCCTCTGGTGAACATCTGTTTTTCATTGAGAAAAATTCTTTACCGTTGGTTTTTTTTGTCTTTTTTGATTGGTGACCCCTTTTTTTTGTCTTCTTCGATGGATGACTACTTTCAAAATCAGAATCAGAATCTTGTAGTTGTTGTTTTTCAGGAGCTTTCCTTTTTGATGGACTTTTTCTGTTTTGATGCTTTATTTTCTTTGGTACTTTTGTTTCTTTTTTATCTGGTAAATGAAAACATATAATATTTGAATAACTTAATGATATATGAATATGATATATGCCCGTTTATTTATTTATTACAAAAATATATACAATTTTATTCATATATACAATTTTATTCATATATGAATAAATAATATATACAATTTTATTCATATATGAATATATTAGATATGATAGGAATTTTGTACCTTTCATATTTTTCCTCTTTTGCATTTATCTTGTTTCTCTGATTGTTGGTGAATCTTTATCGGAAATGTTAGTGTTCTTACCTTCATTCAATAGTAAGTAGAAGGTAAATGAATTTGATATTCAAGAATGAATATTTGAATAAAACATATGTATTCATATTTTTTTTTATTCACATATGAATATGTTTTGTTATATTCATATGTGAATAGAACATATATAAAAGTCATTATTTTTGTATTCACATTTGAATAATGTATGTATGGCAGGAAGCTATCTTCTATTCATATGTGAATATAACATACATATTCACGAATGAATATTTGAATAAAACATATGTATTCATATTTTTTTATTCACATATGAATATGTTTTGTTATATTCATATGTGAATAGAACATATATAAAATTCATTCTTGTTGTATTCACATTTGAATAATGTATGTATGGCAGCAAGCTATCTTCTATTCATATGTGAAATATAACATACATATTCACGAATGAATATTTGAATAAAACATATGTGTTCATATTTTTTATTCACATATGAATATGTTTTATTACATTCATATGTGAATAGAACATATATAAAATTCATTCTTGTTGTATTCACATTTGAATAATGTATGTATGACAGCAAGCTATCTTCTATTCATATGTCAATACAACATACATATTCATGAATGAATATTTGAATAAAACGTATGTATTCATATTTTTTTTATTCACATATGAATATGTTTTGTTATATTCATATGTGAATAGAACATATATAAAATTCATTCTTGTTATATTCACATTTGAATAATGTATGTATGACAGCAAGCTATCTTCCATTCATATGTGAATATAACATACATATTCACGAATAAATATTTGAATAAAACATATGTATTCATATTTTTTATTCACATATGAATATGTTTTGTTATATTCATATGTGAATAGAACATATATATATATATATATATATATATATATATATATATATATATATATATATATATATATATATATATATATAAGTCATTATTGTTGTATTCACATTTGAATAATGTATGTACGACAGCAAACTATCTTCTATTCATATGTGAATATAACATACATATTCACGAATGAATATTAGTTTAGCTTGTGTTCAGAAGTAAACATAACAAATTTTATTTACCTTTTTGATTTGTTCTTGTTTTTCGTTTATATGTATTCTTCACTGTTGGTGTTGTTTCTGTAAGGGTAAGTAGTTAATATTAGGAAAACATAAGCGAAATGCGAAGTAAACTTTGTATTTTGACAGAATAGTTTTGAATAAAGATGAAAATTGAAGAGATGATGTAAAAACATTTATATATCAAATAATAATGGATAATTCTTACAAAAATTTCAAGTAAATAAAGTAATAACGAAGGAGGGTTACGAGAATGAATGAGTATTATAAATTTCAAGTAAAATTGAAGTAAACAACCTTTTTTGAAGAATGAACAGTGTGAAAACAATGTTTTTAGTTCTGAATCAACTAATAATTTTCAAACATTACGAGAAATTTCAAGTAATCAAGTGATAACTTTAGAAATGATTCGAAATCGTTAAAAAAATCGAGAAAAAACGCCGATGGTTACCTTTCATTGTCAAGAGTAAGGAAATGATCTCGTTCATGTTTTCATTGGAAGACATTTTTCTTCGTTTATGTTATTTGATGCTTCTACAAATGTTTTTCTTCTTGTCGATTCTTCTTTAAATGGTTTTCGTGTTATGGTGTATTGAAGAGGGAAATTGTGCTTTTCTGTCGAGATTTGACGTGATATCAAATTACTCAAGTGCCCTGACGGTTTAATCTTTTTTGATTATTTACATATTTGCCACCGCTCATTAATGTATTTAGATTATTTACAAGTTTGCCACCGTACATTTTTTAAGCTCATTAAATGATTGGATGAGAATGGTTCCCCCATTCTCAACTTTTTTTTTCTCAATTGAACCATCTTGTATATATATATATATATATATATATATATATATATATATATATATATATATATATATATATATATATATATATATATATATATATATATATATATATATATATATACGTATATACGTGTGTGTGTAACCGAAAATATACTCTCATTCTTACACTTTCAACCGAAATCATCCCAAATCCTCTCAAGAACACATGCGAAAACATCACTTTTCTCTCAAATATCAACCAAAAATCCTTCGAATATTCATAAGATATCATTCGAAATCTTCAAGTCTTCTAGATACCAACCGAAAATACCATTCAATCTTCTTAACTTCCAACCGAAAACACCTTATCTCCTTAGTTATACCAAGAACACCAAGAACTCATTGAATCACCAACAACCGAAAACCCCCTAATAACCGAAAACTCCTATTTTCGGTTGATTCTAACACTTTTTATAAGTGTTTCTTACATAATCTTTGTATTATTTGTCACTAAGATTGTTAACTTTAGTTGTACATCGGGTATAACTATTGTTTAGGATACATTTGATAATCAAGCGTTCTAACTCGAGAATTTACACAACCACATCGTAAGCATCCAAGAACACGCACACGATGTGATTTCATACCCCTACGTTTTCATAATTTTTAACTGTTTTAGGGGGAATACAAGTGAAACACAATAAAAATTGTGTTAATATCTAAATGTTTTAATGTTTATAAATTGTTGTTGTTATCAAAATTATATATATATATATATATATATATATATATATATATATATATATATATATATATAGTTAGGATTCAACAGACCTAGAATTGGTAATTTAACTTCATTTCATGTTCCTTGTTTGGTTGTGGGCTTGGGGTAGAATTGTTTATTCGAATGTTTATTTAATCACAACTATATAAATATTTTATTTATATAAGTATAAAATGATTTTCAAAATTCTTAAACAAAAACATAATTTTTGTAAACTGTTTTAGTACCATTTGAATATAAACAATGGATTTCAAGGAACTTTATTACAGTAAAACATGAACATATAAACTATAATAGGTATAGTTAATGAAACATACACATTGCTTTTAAATGTTCATATTACAAAATAGAAAACAAACATCTAAACTATAACGGGTATAGTTTATGGACCATATGCATTACTTTACATATTCAGAATACATTACGGAAAAACACAAACATATAAATTATATTAAATATAGTTTATGAAACATACTTATAGTTTCTTCATTTCATTGTAATTTTCCATTATTTAACGTGTAATCATTAATATAGCATTTGTGAGACACGATTCAAGTACTTATCTATGTACCAACCATGTCCTGAAACTATAACCAGAGTTTCCTAGAGGGAGAGCGTGACACTTGTGTATAGATCTATATGGGACTGAAAATCCCGCACCAGAGCTTCTTGCAACAGCTAGGCCGAAAGGCCTGTGGTGAGAAATGTCGTACCGATTGCGATGCCTGAAGAACATCGTGCTCATGCCATCTTAAGTCATCAAGTATGGTTATAATAACTCACAATTTGGTATTGAAAAAAAATGATTAGTGTATGAATAAGTAGACAACCTTACATAGTTTTATTTAATAATGAAACTATAATACAGTACTTTACAAGTACAATTAGTAAAACTAAACGATTACAAGTACCCAATTTTCATAACAGGAATAAATGCACATTTCTACTTCAGTACAGAGAAAACATACTTTTCATGGTTTTAAGTGAACTAAACTACATTGTACAACTTCAGAGTACAATAACATTCACACATTTTGCTCACAACATATTACAACAGAAAATTTAGGATTTTCTGGGAAAACATATTTACATTCTCAAGGAACAGAAAATAGATTTTTAGTTATAAATAAGCTTATGAACTCACCAACTTAATTGTTGACACTCTTTTGAAAACTTCTTGTATTCTCACGAAACCGGTATATAGCTATCCACAGGTTTTGAGATGACGGAGCTTCATAGACTCGTATCTTGTGCTTTTGTATTACATTTTTCATGTCAATATACAATAATTTGAACACATATGTAAAAACTCATATATTTTCAATACATGGTCGTCGTACTTTTATTACTATTATGCAATTGTTGTGATACTGTACATGATGTCCTCCGCCCCCGAACGTTTCCGCCGTTCTGGTTTGGGGTGTGACAGATTGGTATTAGAGCATTGTTTATAGTGAACTCGGTATATCAACCTATAAAAGATATACAACTATAAATACAATAGGGCCGATGTGCTCTGACTAAAAGTATACTTTTAAAGTATAACAATATTTTATAAGAAGTATACTAACATGTATACCTACAAGAACCAGTATCACAGTGAAAAATATACAAAACTATTTAGATCTTGGAAATTACAGTTAAACTTAGACAGTTATGTAATCATATCTAGAATAAATATAGCTTGATCAACTATATTTATTTTAGATACAAT